TTTTACAGAGGAATAGCCGAACCAGCTGCAGACTAGGTTTAAAACAGTGAAGTATACGGAAGATAAACGAGCTCCAGAACAATCCAAAACAGTGAAGTATACGGAAGATAAACGGGAAATAAACACTCCAGAAAATTGGAGTTTTGGTCGATGGATATATGAATACTGATATACGGTCGGCGAAACTTTCAGAGATAAAAGTGTCCATATGTCTTAATGCTTCAATTAAAGGATGGAATCACTGTAGGCCTATTATTGTTGTCGGTAGTACTTCCTTTAGTTTCGCGTGTGGAGGTACGCCAAGGCCGGTGTTTTAGATGGGTGTGCTTTGGCGATGGCGAGATGAGTTTTGCTTACGACCACGTAACTGTGACGGTGGCATATCAGTTCAGATTATCTGAGCTTTGTCAGTGATTTGATGTTTGGCATGAGAAAGCAAATCTTTGGCAAATAAAATCTATATATTCGTCAATGGCTTGTGTGTGATAATATTTTGTTTATCTACCATTTATGTTAAGTATAACTGTATATATACTTCATCATAACCACGAAAAAATAAGTTTAGATATATTGTATATATACATTAGATAAACATGGCCTAACATTTCTCTAATATTACTCGCATAGTTATAAATAAGATAAACAACATATAAACAACACTAAAATGGTATAAAAACATAATATACAATTCCTAATGATTGCGAAATCCAAAATCGAATGTAGTTATACATTAGATGAACAACCTATGTCTACTTTACATGACACCGAATTGAACTTAGAACTTGTCAATTCCTACATATTTCAACTTTACATAACATTTACAAAGTTCAATCAACAACTTTGTGCACTACAAAAAACAACACATTATATATTATGTATAATTAACGTATAATTTGTGTATATGTTTACTACACTCCTGGTGAATGATCCCATCGACGCTTACGATTTTTTGGGTCAAAATTTCAGATTTTCGAGTCCATTGAAGTTCAAAACACAAAACTGAAAAAAATCCAACAAAACATAAGGCCAATAGTAATAACATGGTCCAACTCTCCACACACTAAAGATAAAGTATTCTATCAAAAGGTAGTCAGATTCTAAATAAGAGACATGAGCTTTGCAAGCTCTACATCATCAAGCATCCCAGGAGATTCATCATCGCTCTCACACGAATTTTCTTGCTTCATACGACCATGTTGATAGAGCAAGTATGAGTACCTCATCCTCTCGGACCTCTCCGTGTCTGGATCAATTGTAAATATATATACATAAGATAAACATCATATATACTTTTTTTGATTCTACAATAACCTTATAAATGACAACAAAAATTGTATATATAATATATATATATATATATACACACACACACACATAAGATGAACAACATATAAACTTTTCTCAAAATGCAATATATTTATAACATGACGACAAAAACTGAACATGTTTATATATACATAATATAAACAACATATAAACACTAACGAAATTCAATATACTTATATAACATGATATCAACACAAACAAATTCAGTCAATACATCATTTAGCAAAAAACCAAACAAAAACGCCTTAACAAATCACTCCACATGCACAAAAATATTCCCAAAAATCCAAAGACAATTTCCACAATTAACGAACAAGTATGAATTATAATTTGATTCACAAATTATTAACCTTATAAAATATTTAACCTTATAAGACAATTTAATCCAAACAAGACAATTTCCTCCTCTGTCATCTGTACCGACATGTCGAACTGCTCCGCACACGACTCACCCTCGATGGTCTTCCGATTAGGTTTTTTGGACGACCTTACGCTCGGGTGCTTGAAATTGAGATGTTCGACGAGATCGGGAGCGAGTTAATCTTGTTTCTTTTTCACTGTAGCCGGATTTGGCTTCACTTCTTCTTCGCTTGGCCATTGAAGATTTCAGACTGAGAATCGATTTTTGTGTGGTAGAGAAGATGTCTTTTTTGGTTTTTTTGTGAAGAAGATACACATCAAACGATGATATGGAGAGAGAGAGAGAGAGAGAGAGAGAGAGAGAGAGAGAAAAGCAAAAGAATCTGCTTGTTTTATAATTGTGTGGGGAAGAAAAATTATATGGAGAGAGAGAGATGCATGAAATAAAACCTCATTAATTATGTGTAT